TTGTGAATGTGGCCTACAATGAAAAGAGCCTCTACTTTGGGCCTACCTATATTATACCCAAGCCCATTGATCCACGACTGTTGGTGACGGTTTCACCCGCAGTGGCCAGGGCTGCTATGGATAGTGGGGTGGCACGTCAGCCGATCACCGACTGGCATGCCTATGAGTCGGAGCTGTACCGCAGGCTGGGTACCGATGATAATATCCTTCGCTTTGTGATCAACAAGGCCAAGCAAAATCCACGTCGTGTGGTATTTGCAGAAGCTGAAAATATTAAAGTGCTGAAGGCAGCACAAACTGTGCTGGATGATGGTATTGCCACGCCGATCTTACTAGGCAATGAAGCCCGGATACGCGGTTTGATAGCAGAACATAATCTTCATCTGGAGGGAGTACAGATAATGGACCCACGGAGTGATGATATGGAAGAGCAGCGGAATAAGTATGGCGATCAGTTCTTTGAGAAAAGAAAACGCCGCGGCTTTAACCTGTTCGAAGCCCGCAAGATCATGCGCGACCGTGTGTATTTTGGTTGTATGATGGTAGAGAGTGGAGAGGCCGATGCGCTGATCTCCGGTCTGACCCGTAACTACCCCGATACCGTACGCCCTGCATTGCAGATCATCGGGCTGGAAGAGGGAGCTAAGAAGGTAGCCGGTATGTACCTGATGCTCACCAAGAAAGGGCCACTGTTCTTTGCGGATACCACTGTAAACTTTAATCCTACAGTGGATGAGCTGATTGACATTACCCTGCTTACCGCTAAAGAAGTGGAGCAGTTCAATATCAAACCAAGGATCGCCATGTTGTCTTATTCCAACTTTGGTTCCTCCGATTCGCCGGAGGCAAGGACGGTAAGAGATGCAGTGGCAAAGATGAAGCAGCTGTATCCTGATATGGTGGTAGAAGGCGAAATGCAGGCGGGCGTTGCCTTTAATAAAGACTTGCTGCGCGAAAACTATCCGTTTACAGACCTTGTGAATGAGTCTCCCAATGTGCTGATCTTCCCGAACCTGGCTGCCGGTAATATTGCTTATCACCTGTTGCAGGAAGTGGGTAGTGCTGAGGCAGTTGGCCCGATCCTGCTGGGGCTGCGTAAGCCGGTGCATGTTTTGCAGCTGGGCAGTACCGTTCGCCAGATCGTAAATATGGTAGCCATTGCCGTTGTTGATGCGCAGGTAAAATGTCCTGGAAAGGGCGAAACTTTATAGCTGATCTTATTAATAGTGTAAATGACACCTGTAGTTTAAAAAAGCGGCAGGTGTCATTTTTTTTTAAAGCCAAGATTATCTATGCGCATTGCGTCATAATGATA